TCCTAAGTGAAATATGGCAAGAATGAATAAATAAACCGCACATATACTCACTAGTCAATTGAATCTAATCGATCAGCAATGATGTGCACAGATAGAAGTAAAACTCAATGGAAATCAAGCATGTGGGAGGGGGTAGGAGGAGATATTTGAAATCATACCTAATGGGTACAGTGTACACCATCTGGGTAATGGGCACACTAATAACTTTGACTTAAGCACCAATCCATGTAACAAAAACATTTGTATCTCTGTAATATCCTCAAATTAAATAGAAAAAGATTAAAAGCTTATGAAATAGATTAAAAAATATGAATTCTCTTGGGGACAAAAAATTCTTGCTGTAGTAATACCTTTATGTAGATTTTTAAATGAACCACTTGTGTTAGAAAAGACAGCTAGAAAAATAAACATTTATTAGCATAACAAAAAGCCCTATGAACTAATAAGTATATGTGGAATGTACCTCAACATAAAAGCCATATATGAAAGGAGCACAGCCAACATCATATTCAATGGTAAAAAGTCAAATGGTTTTCTCTAAGATCAGAAACAAGACAAGTATGCCCTCTTTCATCATCTCCATTTAACATAATACTGGAAACGCTAGCCAAAACAATTAGGCAAAGAAAGGAAATTAAAAGTATTTAAATAAAAAAGAAAGAAGTAAAATTATGTCTGGTTGCAGATGACATGACCCTATATATAGGAAGCCCTAAAGGATCCACCAATAATCTCTTAGCTAATAAATGAATTCAGTAAAGTTGCAGGATATGATATTAACATACAAAAATCAGTGGCATTATTATACACTAACAATGAACTATATACCCCCAGTTAAGGAAATAATTCCATGTACAGTAACACCAAAAGAATAAAATATGTACAAATAAATTTAATCATAAAGAGGAAAGATCTGTACACTGAAAACTATGAAATATTGATGAAAATTTGAAGATGACATAAATAAATGGCAAGATATCATGTGATCATGCATTAGAAAATTAATATTGTTGAAATTCCCATACTACCCAAAGCCATTTACAGATTCTAAGAAATCTCTATCAAAATTTCCATGACATTTTCACAGAAATAGAAAGTAAATCTTAACATTTATATGGAATTACAAAGACACCAAATAGCCAAAGCAATTTTGAGCAAAAAGAAGAAAGCTACAGACATCGGACATCCTTGTTTTAAAGTATATGACAAAATTCTAGTAATCAAAATAGTATTTTATTGGCATATACAGAGCCCAGAAATAAGTACATGTCTGTAAAGTCAACTAGTCTTTGAAAAAACCACAAAGAATATAAAATGAGTAGAGGATAGTCTCTTGAATAAGTGGTGTTCAAAAAATGTGATATCCACATGCAAAAGAATGAATGGGACTCATCTTACATCATATACAATTTAATTTGAAATGAATTAAAGAAGTAAATGTAATATGTGAAGCCATAAAACTCCTGGAAGAAAAGAGGTAACAAGCACCTTGACATCGGTCTTGGTGATGATTTTTTGGATATGACACCAAAAGCACAGGCATCAAAACCGAAAACAAATAACTGGGAATATAGTCAACTATAAAGCTTCTGCATAGCAAAAGAAACTATCAACAGAGGGAATAGACAACTTATGGATTGGGAGAAAATATTAATATTTGTGAACCATTGGATAAGTAGTTAATATACACAAAATATATGAAACTCATGTAATTCAATAGCCCGAAAAAAAATAATAATTTAAAAATGGGCAAAGGCTCTGAATAGACATTTTTCCAAGGAAGATATACAGATGGCCAATTTTCATTTCATGTGAGAAGTTTCTGACCCTGGAATTCATGGACCGCCTTTTGAAGTGACTTCCCCATTTCTAGGTGGAAAAGAGGGAATCAAGCCAACCTTGAATATTCTGCTGTCTGGGTATCAGCAGAACAGTTTTTTGGGAGAGGAAAGACTGGACCTCAGGTGACTTGCTTGAGGCCATACAGTGGGATGGGAGACCAGATGTGACGTTGGGGAGAGTCCTGACCTGCCTGTCAGGAATCCAGACCTAGTCCTTTGATTACCTGGGTGACCTTCTACAGGCTACATACTGCCCCCAACAAGGACTCTGGTTTCACATTGATTAAGTGGGGTTAATACACAGTGACCTAACTACCTTGAATAATGGGGCCAGCCTACAAATCCCCTCTTAGGGGTGTTCTGCCTAGGAAGCCACAGGAGAAGCCTTCACTTGGAGGAGAAGATGGCAATGCCCAGTGTTTAGGGGGATGGTACAGCTCCCCATGGGAATGGGAGGTGGAGCTCTTGAATGTTAGGGGGCTGCCCAGGTTTGGAGAGAAGAGACCAGGTTTTCAGTAGGTGGTGGTGAGTGTGAGCCAACTGAGGCTGTGACAGAGGGAGTGTGTACTTCTCTGTCCCACTCTCTGAGACAGCAGGATCAGGGCTGATGAAAGCTTAGGGGAAAGTCATGGTTGACTCCAGCCAAGAGCCTGTCAGCTTCTGTGGGGGTCTGGCTTTGCCTTGAGTGTATGGAGAGGATGACTGATATTAGTGGCAGTGAAGGGGCCATATTGCAGCCCACAGAAGGTAAATGCTAATATTTGCACAGAAACTGTGTGCAGTAAACACTCTCCACAAAGAGCTTTTTTCTTTTGCACACAGCTTCTTATTTAGGTAACTGTTGACATTTTTGAAAACTGAGAAAAGGTCTTTGACTTATTAAATGGACTACGAAAGAAAAACAAATCAGAAATTATGGAAGTGAAATATTCATTCAAGAAATTACAAAACACAGTGGAAAGCCTTAAGAATAGGCTCGATCAGTTATAAGAAAAAATTTCAGAGCTTGAACAGAACACCTATGAGCTAGACAAATAAGTCAAAGAGAAAGAACAGAGAAAAAGAGGAATGAGCAAAGCCTACAAGAAATGTGGAATTATGTAAAGTGGCAAACATACTAATCATAGGCATCCCTAAGGACAATGAAGGAAATACACAGGGGTTGGATAGTTTATTTGAGGGAATAATTGAGGAAAATTTTTCCTGACCTAGTTAGAAATCTAGATATCCACGTACAAGAAGCCCACAGGACTCCAGGAAGATTTATCATGAAAAGGCAATCACCATGTCACATAGTCATTAGGCTGGACAAAGTAAACCCAAGTGATGCACTCCTACGAGCCAAAGGTAAAAACAGCAGGTAACCTACAAAGGCATCCTATCAAGCTAACTGCAGACTTCTCAACTAAACCTTACAAGCCAGAAGGGACTGGGGACCCATTCTCATTTTTCTAAAACAGAATAATGGACAGCCTAAAATTTTGTATCCAACTAAACTAAGTTTTTTATTTGAGGAAGAAATAAAGACATTCCCAGACAAGCAATCAGTGAGGGAATTTGTGAAGATCAGAACTGACCTGTGGGAAGTCCTCAGACCTTCATTATACACTGATTGGTGCAATAGACACCCACCAGTATAAAATCATTCAAAATCTAAGGTACAGAACGCAGATTCGACAATGGCTCAAGAGGTAAAACAAAGCAATAAGTGTCTCCCCAATATGATATGCAGAAATACACCCCGTCCCACTTATTAATTCTTTCAATAAATATGAATGGCTTGAATGCCCCAGTGAAGAGACATAGTTTGGCTGAATGGATAAAAATATTCAAGCCAAGTGTCTGTTGTCTCCAGGAATGCATCTAACCCACAAGGATTCCTTGAGACTCAAGGTGAAAGGATAGTAAACAATATTCCATGCAAATGGAAACTAAAAGAAAGCTGGTGTAGCTGTTCTCATATCAGATAACATAGATGCCAAACCCACAAAATTAAAGAAAGAGAAAAATGGTCAGTATACAATGGTGAAGTGAACAATTCAACAATAAGACTTAACAATCTTAGATATTTATGCACCTAACAAAGGAGCACCCAGGTATGTAAAGCAAATCCTACTTGATCTAAACAACATGATAAATAGCAATGCTATGACAGCGATGGACTTTAACACCCCACTGACAGAACTTGACGGATCCTCCAACAGAAAATAAGCAAAGAATCAATGGACTTAAACACAACTCTAGAACAAATGGGCCTAACAGACATCCTCTGAACAACCTACCCCCAAAATACCGAATATACATTCTTCTCATCAGGTCATGGAACTTTCTCTAAATTGATCACATCCTAGGCCACAAAACAGGTCTCAAGAAATTAAACAAAACAAAAATTAAACCATATATCTTCTCAGATTTCAGTAGAATAAAATCAGAAATTTTATTCCAACAGAAACGCTCATCTCTACACAAAATCATGGAAATGAAACAACCCATTCCTGAATGAGAATGGGGTCAGGGAGGAGAAAAAGATGGAAATCATGACATCTTCAAGCTGAATGGTAATGAGGGCACAAGTTATCAAACTCTGTGGGATACAGCAAAAGGATTCCTGACAGGAAAACTCATAGCCTTAAATGCCCACATTGAAAAGACAGAATGATCATAAATCGACAATCTTATGATCATCTCAAGGAACAGGAAAAGGACGAGCTAACCAATCCTAAACCCAGCAGAAGAAAAGCAATAACCAAAATAAGAACAGAACTAATGGGATATGGATAGAGGAAAGACACCAAACTCAGGAGGGGCCCACTCTGGTTTGCTGTAAGAGAGTGGCTTTTTGGTGAGCAGGGTAGCCTGAGTCAAAGGTGTGAACCCAGGTAAGCAGATAAGCATCAGGGGTGGGCATGTGTGAGAGCACCGGGCTTGCTGTGACCACAGGAACGGGGGCCTGTCAACGTGATGTCAGGCAGGTCACAGTGTGAAGTTGTACATTTCTGTGCAATTACTTAATGAGTGCGCAGAGCATCTACAGAAGAGCTGAATGGCTCTTTCTCTAGATTGATGGGCTGTCTCCCCAGTAGTCACTTGCTACTCCTGCCCTTAGATTGGGAAAGTTGTGTAAGCTGGTTTCTTCCCCCTTCAATGTTTCCACTGCAGCTGACCAGGTTTGAAGGCAGCCACCATGGGCCCCTGCTCAGAGCACAACCAGCCGTGCTGGGCCTCCAGTCTCCTGGGATACATCAGCCTCCTCCTCAGTGAGTAGCCCGGGGTCCCTGGGAAGGAGAAACAACTGTGTGGAGCTGGCATAGCTGGGCCATGACCCCTGGGAGGGCTATTTCGGTTCTGTTGTTACTGAGGAACAGAAAAGAGGAAAATGCTGCGTTATAATTTTCAAATGCAGCATATTAGGTTAGAGGTCATGGTAAACAGAAAAAATGAAATGGTCTTTTGGTGGTGAGCAGGCTGGGATCCCTGAGCTTGGGCTGCCTTGGCTGCATTAATGGGACTATAGCCTGGGAGCACAGGCCTCTTCTGCTACATTAGCCAGAAATCAGAAGGAAGTTAGAACTGCCTGGAAAGAGGGATACAGAGGGTTAAACTAGCTGCCTCCTGGGGATGAAGGGTTGAAAGAGTGTCTGGTGGCCTGGAATTCAGCGGTGTCCTGACAGTCTCTGCACTGTCCTGTGGAGGAGGGGGCAGAACTGGAACCCGTGTCTGAGCTGCAAGAAGCTCCTCTGGTCGGGGCTGCTTGAGCTCCACTGGAGAGGAGAGTGGAGGGGCACCCCTCTGCTTGGGGCTCAGCTCCAGGCAGATCATCTCAGAGGAGAGGCCCTTGGAAGTCTCAGGTTTATCTTAAAAGTGCTTGTGTAATTGGCATTAGTTTCCATCTGAAAATGTTAAAAAGAATTTTCTTTCTCAGGTACAATGAGTCCTGTAGACTATGCCCTTTCTCACTCCTGTGGGTGGCCTATCTTCCACCCTGAAATGCTGCTCAGGCTCTGGAGACTTCAGATGAAACCATGTCCATCACAGCCCTGTTCTGGGCAAAAAGCCCGGGAAAAAGAGGAGGTGCCCAACAATTGGGAGTGATTGAAGACTTTGAGAGTATGTGTACCATGGAGTATTATGCAGGCCTAAAAATGCAAATGTCCCCCCTTCTCGGAGGAATTTTCAGTTTTCATGAAGTAAAATGCATGAATCTCCATCAGGAAGATTCAGGAAACTAAATGCAATGAAATCTTTGTTTTATACAAGGAAAGCAGCCTCCAAAATTTAAGGGTGTCTATGCACCCACATGTTTCTAAGAACTTGCTAAAGATGTGGAAGAACCAGTAGATTGCTAACCTGGGCTAGAGGAGGCCATGAAATCGGGGAGGGAAAATGGAGAGGAAGGAAGTAGAGTGACCTGATCTAGGCTGTCTATCATACTCATTGCTTTATGAAATATCATATGATTATACAAATAATAATATTAAATAAAAGCTAATGAAAAAATAAGTTCTAGTAAATATGAATTATTGCGAAAGCTTTTATTGTTAATATTTTTGTTTTAATACTTCAGCACTGATTGAACTTGCAGGGAAGTATGTGAAATCTAATGGATTAGAAAGCACTTGTAAAACAGGACTTCTGGAAGCAAAGATGAGCTTTGCCATAGCACTGGGTTAGATCCTGTTTAAATTGGTAACTTTCTGTCCACAGCAAAATGTAGGCTTTCTTCACTTCCACAATATTGTTAACTTGGAGAAATATGTGTGATTGTATAACGTTTTCTCTGTAGGCACTGGGCTGGAGGAATACTAGAGAAACAAAGAAAAAGAAAGAAAAAATGGAAGGAAAGAAGAAAGGGAGTGAAGACAGAAATAAGGAGGGGACACACAGAAAGAAAGGACTTAGAATTTTTTAGTTTAGGGATAGGCAGTCTGTGTCCAGATAACAAAAGTGATTCTCTGGAGGGTCACACAGGAAGTTGGGAGGAGTGAATTTGGTTTTCTTGTCAGGCCTGCCCTCCCTGGTAGTCAATGGGACAGACCCTAGCAGTGGAGTTTGGACAGAGCCCGTCCTCAGAAGGAACATCTCCCAGAAACTGCTCTATAGTAATTCATGGAGCTCAACAGTTGGATGCATTTCTTCTTTGGTTTTGTGTTGTCCCCTGCTCAAGTTCAGCCTTGACTTGGAGAGGGATGGGTGGAGAAGGAGTGATGGTGAGGGAGGTATTAAAGAATTTGTCCTTATCATTCTTAGACCCCTGAACCCTTTCTGGATGTGTGCTTAGAAGGGGACATGGGAATTGCTGGTGAGGCCTGAGGGTGGCTCAGCATACACTGCACTTTTGCAGAGACGCAGGTAGCGCCAGTGAGGGTGGCCTCCACTGTGGGGACTGCGTCAGCCTGACCCTGACAGCATTTCCTGAGCGCCCACCCAGTGCCTGCTGGCGGGGAGCTGGAGAAGAAAGGGTCTGCATGTGGCTGCAGGGACGTGGCCTCAGACCTCCTGCCGAAGGACACGTCACCCTCCCACAGTGTGTGAGAAAGTGGGGTGCAGACCACACTCAGCTAGGCAGCTGCAGCTGGGCTTTTAGAGGCAGCTAGTAAAAGCCTCAGCCAGACGTTTTCAGTTCCTGTCTGTTTAGCAGAAAATACTAGTTTACTTCTCGATCACCCTTCCTGCAATGCTGGCAGGGGGAAAGACAAACACTGTTTTCACCAGAACTGTGTGTGAAAATGCCTTCGGAAGGTTTCCCCTTTGGAAAATGAAATCCTGCCCCAGCCAGTCCAGTTGTCCTGTCTTACCCCTGGAAAGGACGGCTGTTGTTTTGGGCCCTACATTATATGGAGCACCTATTTTGGTATCCATTGTTGTATCAAGAATTATATATTTAAACGTGTTATTAGCTATGAAAAACATTACTGACAGAGACATTAAAGGACACTTGTATTTCGCTCATGAATTAATTAAGGAATCAGTAGGATGTCACAAGTGGCTCAAATGGGAGTGGAAGAAGGCCAGCAGCAATGCAATATGTTTACCAATAGATGCCCTGCGTTCACGCGGGTGTGTGGTATCTGTGGGTACAGAGATGACTGTCTGGAGGGAACACGGCATTTCCACGCTTTCCTTTGGGATGAGGCACACTTTGACCTTTCCCCTGAAGCAGCTCCATATCCTGTAGAATAGTTTTCGATAGAACATATAATATTTTTATCAATATATTACAACAGAACCTACTAAGGAAAGGGGAAAATGAATACACCAAATGGAGTTAATGATACAAAATTTATCGAGGCCAAGCTTGGGCAAACAGGTGCTCTGCCATTGCCTTGCTGCCTTCATCTTTACCAATGTCCTGGCTACACAGATGTCCTCGGATACTTGGTGACGTTGGGGTTGATGACGGCTATGTTCGGACACAGACAAATGGATTTCCTTTAAAACTCAGGGCTTAGGTAAACAGGAACTGGACCTTGACACTGTGCAGCGAGCTATGGAAATGAACCTACAGATATTTCACACGCAGGAGGGGACCCCTGAGAGGGACAGCTGCGGGGAAGGAAAGGACACCTGCCTGTGACTGGGAACATCTGGTTCTGCCCCAGGTGTGCTTGGGCACATGATGCTCATCATGATAATGAGAGCAGCTAGTATGAATAGAACAGTTATTGAATCCCGTGCTGAAAACTTTTCTCTATTCAGGTCTAAAGAATAGTCCAAGGAGGTATGCACTATGTTATTTCCATTTCCCAGAAGAGAAAGTCAAAGCCAGAGAGGTTAGATAACTGCTCAAGTTCACATGGCCAGAAAGTGAAGCCCCTGGATTTAAATGTCACTGGCTGTAAAGTTCAATCTTTTGACCACTCTGTCATACTATCCAATTATGTCGAGTCGCTGGCTGCAAAGTAAATTTGAGGTGGATCTACGAGAAATATGAAAATTAAAATCACAAACGCACTTGGAAACAAGAGAGAATTGAAAACCACCTTTGAAATGGGAGTGTTTTTTAAAGCAAGATTTAGAATGAAGAAGCTATTAAACATTTCATATGTTAGACATAATGAAAATACCATTTTGGCAAGGTAAATAGTCCCTAGGTGAAGGTCAAACAGAAAACTATAAATAATTATATCATGTATGTTAGAGAAATAGCTAATTTTCACAACATATATCTAAGTCATAGAAACTAATGGGAAGAGATGAGAAAGGACATTAGCAGACAATTCATAGTTCACAGAAAAGGCAAACAAAGTGACTTAATATGAAATGATGATGATGATAATCTTCATGTATAGAGAAAATGTCCATTGATATGACACTGAGATATAATATTCTCTTTTTCAGTTTGACAAGGGATGTTTGACAATTATGTATTGGTGAGAAACCTAAGCATTATTGGTAGGAATATAGATAGAACCACCCTTCGGAGATACTTAACAATATTGGCCAAAAGTTCAGATGTATGCGCCTATGACCCACGAGAGTCACCCTGATGATTTTCCTAATTCATACACATCGTGTGTGAGAGGCTGAGATACTGGGATGTGCAGTGCCACATTGTGGGTGGTAGCGAGCAGGCACTGGGACATCAGAAGCAGCGGGGACGAGAGGCCCAGGAGGCACGAGGAGCAGACAGTCAATGGGACACAGTGTGCACAGACCCGGCGTGAGCCCCAGTCAGCGCTGCTACCAGAAAGGCAAGGAGAGGTGGGTGCACAGAGCGTGCTGTGTCTGTGGAGACGCACACTGTGCCTGTGAGTGTGTGGACCGTCTCCGGGTGGCTGCCAGGACACGGATGATGGTGCTGCCTTAGGAGAGGGAACCGGACAGTGGGAGCCAGAGATAGGAGAGACTTCATTTTCAATCTCCTTTCTTGTCTCCTCCTTTCATAAACTGTGTGAATGTATAATCTGATTAAAATTAAAAAATTAAATGCCACTTGGTGTTGCTGAAATGCAATCTCCTGTCCTGAGGACCATTAGACATGTGGTATCTGAAGCAGCTGCTGAAATGTAGGGACTGGGAACTATGTTCATGGGGCATGGGCGACCTCTTTTCCAGGCAGGGAAACGGCAGGAGAAATCCAGGTACAGTAACTGTGGCAATTCCATAGCAGGTGGGCCCTATTAATAGTAATGATCATAACACCTAAAGGCATCCTGTTGAGGGCTTTTAAAAATATATAAAATATATATATACACACATACACACACACACACACACATATATATCTCGTAGGAGCCCTAACAGCACTGGCGGTTATTATCCCCAGTGTTTATATGTGGGAACTCAAGGGCTAGACATTTTAGGAACCTGGTAGAGATCACTCAGACAGTAAAGGGTGGATGTGGAACTTGATCCCAGGCCTGTCTCCGTCCCGAGCTGACACCTCCTGTGATGTGCTTGCCAAGGGCTCTGCCCTGGTTCCTCAGGAATCATTCATAGTGTCCAGGTGTAGTCCCTGGCTGCCACCCTTCCTGAGCTTTTATATTCCTCTCCCAGGCCTGTCCTAACAGACATCAAACACAGTGGCTAGAAGAGTGGAAATTGACTGTCACACACTTCTTGAATCCTATAGGGGTTTGTTAGTCAACTTTGAACCCTACATGGCTGTAGCAGTCAGCTCAGTCTACCCTAACAAACAAGAGAAATTTGTTTTCTCACAGTTCTGGGGGCTATTGGATCAAGGTTCCAGCCAATTCAATTGCTGGTGGGGCTCTCTGCCTGGTTAGCGGAAGCCTGCCTCCTATCCGTGTCCTCATGTGACCTTTCCTCAGTGAGTGTGCATGGGGAGGGCTGGCTCGCTTGCTGTTTGCTGACTCTTCTTATAAGGACACTAATGCTATTGGATTGGGCCCCACCCTTGTGACCTCACGTACCCTCCCTACATTAGAGGCCGCATCTCCAAGTAAAGCCACGCTGGGTGTTAAAACTGCAACATGTGAATTCGGGGGCAACACAGATATTCAGTCCATAACAAGGGGAATCCTTCCTCCCCCTTCCCAGCTTCTGGTGTTTGCTGGCAGTCTGTGCCATTCCCTGTCTTGCAACTGCGTCGGTCCATCCTCAACTGCCCGTGCCTCCTCCCTGTGTCTCTTCCTATTGGCTCCTTCCGTGCATGTCGGCGTCTGTGTGTAAGTTTCCCCCTTTCTTAAGGACCCCCGTCATATTCGAGGAGGCTGCAGCCTAATGACCTCGCTTTAACTTGACTCTGTCTGCAAAGACTCTATTTCCAAAGAATGTCACCTTCTGAGGTTCTGGGTTTACGACTTCAATGTATCTTTTCTGAGGAACACAATTCAATCCATAAAAGCCCTCCTTCCTGCAAGACATGACCCCTGACTGGGGAACCCTAGAGTTTGGTAAATATGTCTGTGACCTGACCTCACACGCATCCTGGGGAGCAGGGCTGGCAACTAAATCCGTGATGGTGTGTTTTTGCTTCTTTATAATATATATTGTCACATGAATCTTTCAATAAACAAAAATAACCATACTGGAAAAAAGTCATCAAAAATTTCTGCAAGTAGTTATAAAAATAATAGTGTGATTGGGTCTCATTGGGGAGGAAGGAGAAACTAGACCTGTAGGGTTTTTAGAGTCTGAAAAGTGCCCCAACAGTTTTGCTGTATTCTGTTCCTTACAAGCAGGTCACTAGGTGCAGCCACACCCCAGGGGAGGGATTACACATTGACGTGCACAGGAGGGAGAGATCTTTGGGGGACGTGTTAGAGCTGCCTTCTACATTTATGCACTTAGCATGTGCCGGATAATGTACTCGGTTCTTCTGATCTGGGATTTCACTTAATTCATGCTATCATTTTTGGATGGTAAGAAAACATGAAGAGGCACTTAAGCCTGTTTAAGTTTATACTCCAGGCGAACCAGACTTGATCCCAGAATACTTCCAATTCATTGTACCAGCCTACCTTCTCAGAAAGAAGAATTTTGGATGGATTTGATTAAGAAGAAAAGTTCCGCGGCTCTGTTATTTGTTCTTGATGACAAAACACTCCCGTTTCCGTTTCCGATGCCCAGGTGTCTGCCGTGCTGTGGCTGAGAGTTCTGGGGCACACGGCTCTGCGGTTAAGGACTCCGGAGCCCACGTTTCTCTGAAGGGGATCCGAGGAGGTTCTGTCTTGTTTGATGTGACCCAGAAGGCAGGAGCAGTTCTGGAAGCTGAGCTGGATGAGCTCTACTGGAGCTTTACCCCGGAGTCAGAGTACAGAGTCATGTTTCGAATCCAGAGAGGCGTCCATTCTCCAACCTGGTTCAGCCTCCAGGACAAATTCAAGCAGAGGGTCCAGGTGCCCAACTTGGCCTCCCTGAAGATTTCGAACCTGAGCCTTGAGGACAGTGGGCATTACCGAGCTCAAGCCAGGTTAACGAAAGGAAGAGAAATTATGCAGTTTTTCCACCTTACTGTCTATGGTGAGTGACACCCCTCCCTCCAGCCCATGGCTTACCTCCTCCTTTGTCACATTGGCCCCATGTTGCAGGATTCCATTCAGACACAGCCTTCAGACTCAACCATCTCCCCTGAAATAGTGAAAGTGCAGTCACCAGAGATGGAGTCCAGACCTGAGATTGATACCAGGGAGAAAATCACTTCAGTGTTCTGGGAAAGAAAATGGAAATTGGTGAAATAGAAATCGTTCCAATAACATTAATCATCCTTTCCAGGATTAATGTTACTTAATTTGTATAGTAGTTTTCCATTGTCTTTAGAACAAATTACCGTGACTTAGTAGCTTGAATTTGCAGGAATGTATTATGTCAGCATGCTGTAGGTCTGAAGTCTGACAGAGCTTGCATAGGGATAAAATGAGGGTGTTGGCAGGCTGTGTCTTTTCTGGAGACTCCAGGGGAGAATCCATGTTCTTGTCTTTTTCACCTGCTGGGTGCTATCTGCCTCCTTTGGCCATGGCCACCTTCCTCCATGTTCAAAGCCAGTAATGGTGAGGTGAGTCCTTTTCCACCCCTTGCACCTTGTCTCCCTCTTTCTTTCACTTCTAAGGGTCTTTGTGATTCCATTGGACCCATCCGACTAATCCAGAATAATCTCCCCATTTCAATGTTAGCTGATTAGCAATCTTAATTCTATCTGCTACTTTAATTCCCCTTGCCATGTAGTCCTGGTTGCCAGGACTACAATGTGGAAATATCTGGGGCCACCATTCTGTCTCTCACAATTGGAAGTCCACTCATATCGAGTCCTCCCAGTCCTCTCCCCTCTCACCCCAGCCTGAGACTAACTCAGGACTCAGCTAACCCATCTCTCAAAGCCTTCTAGTTGTAGACCGTTTACACTGCATAGGACAGATGTTTATCCAAGACTTTCTTTCCCTAGAGTTCCTCTCTACATAGGGAAAAAACCTACTATGGAGAGAGCGTGTTTGCAGCATTAGGTCCCATGTGCTTTCTAAGACAGGCTTACACATCTGACTCTTCTCTTCCTGTCAGTACCTCAAGTTCAGTGGCGTGTTGTAAACACACTCGGAGATGTTCCTTGTGGCTGCCACTGCATCTCCCACCATTGTGTGTACTCTTGGGAGCATGGGCTGTGTGTGGCCTCCCAGAGTTGGCCTGAACTCCTGCCCCAGAAGGCCGTGCAGTCCCAGGCTGCAGTCCCATCATCTCAGTTGGTGATTCTGGGGAAGGACCATGGGCCAGGAAAAGCCCTTCTGCCCCAGACTTCTTCCTCCTCCAAGAAAGAGTCCAATTTTTAGAAATTATTGGTCTTGAATAGGTGGAGTCCAGCCTTGTTTCCTTTGGGAGACTTTTCTGACTTGTTTAATCTAGTGACACTTCCCTGGGCTGACTCAGTGGCTTCCATTCTTATTGTCATCTGCTCAGTGTTTGGCTGAAGACAAACTGTGTGTTATCTGTAAAACACACCCCCTTTCCCTATAGGGTGCATGCCATGGCATCTGTGAGAAAATGATTACAATGTACGGTGTGTAATGTTCTCTACAAACAAGGCTCCTTTCTTTTGTCCCCTCCTGCCCCAGAACCTGTGCCCCATCCGCACATCCTGGCTCAGTCACCATTCATCGCAGCAGGCTGGTGCAACGTCATCCTGGAGTGCAGGGCCCCAGGGGCCACAAGGGACCTGAACGTGACATGGGAGAGCAGGGGCCTCCCCCTGGAGCTGTGGCAGAGAGGGACACCAGGACCAGCCCTTGACTCCTGGACCCTGGCTGCAAGCCTACCCCTGAGTCAGCCCAATGCCAGCTTCACCTGTGTGGTCAGCAATCCCATGGACCAGAAAACTGTCACCAGAGATGTTGGGGACATCTGTGCCCAAGGTGATTGGGAAGGGGGACCTGGAGTTCAGGCAGCATGGGGGCCTTCAGGTCTGGGCTTTTCTCCCTGCCATGTGTATTCGCATCATTGTCCACCTAGTCACCTACTCAGAAGGCTGGGAGTCCCAGTAACCTCACTTCTGCCTTTGATCATGTCTTCCATCCATGCCCTCCTCTGTCAACCACCCACCATGTCCCTGCTGGTCCAGGCTGCAGTCTTCCCATGGCTCTCCCACCCCATTTGTCCTCGAACACTCGTCCAGAGTGAGCTATGGGGAAAGCAGATGGGATTGTGTCATTGTCTGTGTCATCTGTGGGAACCTGATTCCAGCCGCCCGCTGTAGGATTTGTATCTTAGATATTCCTCCACCGACATTGCTGGCCTTACCCACTCGCTTCACAACAAGGCGCTGGCTGTAGTTCCCTGAACGTGTTCTGCCATTGCAAGATTATGAGCTTCAGGACATGCTGTGTCCTCTCCCATGAGCCATCCTGAGTCCCATGTGCTTCCCTTCCTGTCTTACTGCTGCTGAAGGATTCCCCTGAGGCGGGCAGGCTTCATGGGGTGAAGACTGGGTAGCGGCACAGGTCCCCACACTTAAAGGTCTTGGTTTAAAATTCTGCTCTTAACCAGTTTGAACAAGGGCTCCCCGTGTTCCTTTTGCACAGGCCCTGCAAGTGATGTGGTTTGTCCTGCCCTCAGGCACCACCTCCTTAGGGAGCTGTCCGTGGCCTCCCCACACTGAGCAGTGAAGATGGATTTCTGTCTTAGTCTCCTCTGTAGACTGGACAACCTTGAGGGAAGGCCATGTCTTGTTTTCCTTTGACTCCCTGTGCCAAGCCAGCTTCTTGCAAAGTTTGCTCACAACCAGTGTTCCCGGAATCAATGAAAGGCCAGGACCCTGTGTGCAGCCCTGTCTTCCCTTTCTCTGGGAGCAGCTGGAGGGTCTGGTGTGTCAGTGCCACTCAAACTGCCTGTGACCTTCTCCCTTGAACCCATTCTGAGTCTCAGCTAACACTTAGCATGGCCAAAAGGCCCTCTGGGGAGAGACTCCTACCTCCCTCTGACCCTCCTCCCTGCCTGCCCCTGCCCTGCCACAGTGGGGGTGCTGGCAACTCCCAGGGATGGCGTTGGACAGAGCTATTCCCTGAACATGGTGCTCCTCATTCCTGCAGTGACCTCCTCTGAATATCTGGAAACTCCTACTCCTCCCTCAAGACTCAGTCTACCCACACCTCCTCTGGGAGGCCCTCCTGAAGCTCTAGCACAGGTTTAAACTTCTGTTAAAGCAGGGTTCCTCTGTGTGGCCTTTGATATATTCTCAGTCTTCCCTCCTGGGTGATGAGCTACTTTAGGGCATGGACATCCTCTTGTTCATCCCAGTATTCCTGGCGAAACCAGCAGCTCCGTGTCTGGTTGAATGAGTGGATCTGCCGTTTTCCTTCCTCTTCAGCCTCTGCACCAGACCCCTTCGTGCCCCTCCACCCGCTTCCTCCCTGTGCTCCCCCTTGGAAATGGGCATCTCAAGTTCTCTCCTAACTTAACTTGTTCATTCTTTCTATGAGGGAAACAGATTCACATGGATGGGACATGGCTAGACTGCTGCCAGACATGCTAAGGGCTACTGTGGTTTTGATGTTGACCCTGGGAGTTATATCATACCTTTGGAAGACATGTGGCAATAAGAAGAAGATGGAAACAGAACGAGGCAGGTTGCACTTCTCCTTCCAGCCCCAGATGCCTCCCCTTCTCCACTAGAACTTGGCCCCCTATCTACTGACTATGGCTGCCAAGAGAGACTCCTGCAGATGGGATGATGGGTGTGGCATGGCTTTGGTGCTCATGGCAGTGGGAGGGATACAGGTCTCCAAGGCACAGATTTAAGGATTGTCTGTGTGTGGCTCAGGTGTCCACTTGCAGGAGGAGCAGAGAGTTGAGGATGGTGGCATCCACTATGAAGAGCTGATAGAACAGGGGTCTCAGCTGGGTAAGTATAAGGCTGGAGCCACTGGCCATCCAGGCTACTCCCAGGTCCCTCACTGCCCAGCCCTGGGCTTCCAAACCCAGGCATCTGCTACTCTGACCCTGCGGCCTGTTCATGTGTTTCTGGACAATCAACACCACTTACTAAGAAAGATTTGTAACTTGTGTGAATGCAATGCTTTGCACTTTGGAAATTTCATAAGCAGAGCATGTCAGTGGGCACTGGCTCTGCAGGTCCTTCCGGGGCCACTTTATCCCTCAGCTGCTCCAGGACCCCTCTGTCTTGTATTACAGGGCATCAGTGAACTACATGTGGAAGAAAAGTTTCCTGTGACTACTGTCTACAGTGAGGTCCGTAAATCAAGCCGGGCCATGAATGTCATTTAATGGGAGGAAGCAGGAGAATTGGCACCACTGGGACACGTGTGCTCTGAGCCTGAAGCCTGCAGACACCTGCCTCTGCCAGCTGCAGTTCAGCACCAGCTGCCTCTGGTCTATCTTAGCCTTACTTTGGTGACATACGCTCTATGGGCATTCATGGCCTGGTTACGTTCTGTGACCTCCCAAAACTGTCCTCATAATCACGATTCTCACCCCTGCCAGGTGAGGGCTCTTGGTCTGTCATTCAGAGGGATTCTGACTCTTCTTCAAAACCTTCCCAAGGGGACCCTGTCTGATTGTGTAGGGAGCAAATCCCTATCACTTCTGCTGTGTCGCTTGTGTGTGTAATTCTGACAACACAAGGCCGGGTGTTCGAGCTGTGCTGACGTGTTGACTATGCTGCAGAGGAGGAGTCAGGACCCGGGTTTTACCAGCTGAGTTGGGGTCAAAGGAGGCAGAATGAGTGGGTGGAAGCCTGCAAAGGGATTGGCCTAAGGCTTCCTTTGGGGATCTCACGTGGACCTCCTTTGGGTGTGTTAAGCAGTGTGTTGGTGTGTGTTGGTGTGCATGTGCACGTTGTGGGGAGTGTGCAGGGCACATTATGCAAGTCCACCAGGGACGCCTTCCTTTTCTCCTTTGCTAAGCTGGACCTGAGCCTCAGCCTTCTCCCGCGGACCCAAACTTATCTTTCTGTGGAGTGGAAAGAAAAATTCCTATGATCTCAAGCCCTTCCCAGCCTTCTGTTTCTCAGATTGACCCTTAGGGGCAAAAGTTGGGGATTGTCTTTGAAGCTACTGGGAAGGTCTGACCCGGCATCTCCAGCCTCTGCTTATATCGACCCTCAGGCCCCTGTAGTCACGCTGGCTCCATACCCTACATCAGCCTCTTCGTTTCTCACTTGCATCCCTGTGCCTGAAATGATGGTTTACTCTTCCTGATTCTCACCCTCACCTCTGCCTGTTGAATCAGCCATCCGCCAAAAGCCTCCTCCCAAGATATTGTTCATGGAGGCTGTCTGAATCCTGAAGGTTTGGTACTGGTCTGTCCCACATCTGATCTCTCTGAACACCTTGAATATTATGTAAGGCACCTGACACAATCTACCCTGGATTGGAGCCATGAATCTTCCTGCAGGGCTCCCTCCGGAGGGTGGTGGGGCCATGGGAGAACAGAGCAAGGAGACAAGCACCCTCTGTGTGGGCGGGTCTGGGCTGCCCTCCTCCCATTCCATGCAGGCTTAGCAGAAGGGGACGCCACACAGAAGCTGATGACAGTCTCTCTGGCGTGGCTCCCTTGGAGGCAGGGTTGGACATGATGCCCTTCCTTGATTATATCTGCCCGAGGTCCTAGTTGGGGACCACCTTACCCCACCATTAGCCTCTGGTTGCCTGAGGGCCTGGTGCAGCTTCCACCGCAGTGTGTGGGTGTTTCTTCCCTCCGTTGGGGTCCCCACCTTGCCGCATCCTGTTTGTGTCCCAGCTCTTACACAGAAGTGGGCTGACTCTTGTTCCATGAGCTGCTGTGGCTTGTCTGGTGGCCTGGATTTCTGGGTCTCTTGGCTCCCCTTGCAGCTTAGAAGAGCTCAGCTGCCTCATTGCTGAAGTCAGAAAGCTCAGGTCTGAATACGGCCTCTGCTAAGTGCTTGATCACTGTGACCCAATGCTAGGAGCCTGCTGATGGTGAGGGAGGAGCGGGGGACCCTCTTCTCTTTCAGCCTGAGCAGAAGTTGTAGGTGTGCCAGTCTCTGCATTGGCTTCTCACCAGCCTGGTCACGGTTGGGCATCAGTGCCCTTCAGTCCCAGGACAGTGTATGAGAAATCCAGTTGTATAGGCAATAGGTTTCTTAGGCCAAACTAAAATGATTGCCGGTGTGTCTTCAGCTGGCCTTCTGGTAAGGCATGACTCAACACACTTCTGTAACCAAGGTGTTATCTCCTACGTGAACCCCTGTGATCACGCTTTCCCATGGCATATTGTCACTATTGTTCTGAGCCACACAAAAGCGCTCCCCTTGTTCTTGGCCATGCTTTCACCGCTGCTGCATCCCTCCGACAATAAAGAGCATGTCTCACCTGCCGGCTGCCACCTGTCTCTTCTTTCAACTCCCAGAAGCCTGCTCTGGTGCACTTGCTGGGCACAGAGCCCACTCCCCGCAGGCAGGGTAAGAGGTGAGCACCCAGCTGACCTTCCCACTCCACCTAAGGCAGGAAAAACAAGGAAAAAAACTGGGCTTTTCAGCCTATAGGGAACCAGGTTTTGCCTGAAGCACTTTGGAAATATTATTTCTTGTAGTTCTTACTTTAGGGGTGGTATTGGTAACTGGCATCCCAAACTAGTTGGTGGCAGAGCAAAGCCTTAAATCCAACACTGGACGATTCCAAAGTTCTTGCCTTTTCCCTTCACCGCGTAGTCACTGAAGACCTTTGCTAGGGTTTGAGTGTTTGTGTTCCTCCACAATGCATGTTAGATCTTAATCCCCACTGCAACAGCATTAATAGGTGTGACCTTACAAGGTGATTATGTCCCTCAAATGGGATCAGTGCCCTTACAAAAGAGCTTGAGGACTTAGTGGAGTCCCTTTAGCCATTTTGCCATGTGAGGATGCTGGAAGAAGATGACATCTATGGAGCAGAAAGCAAGCCCTTACCAGACATGAATCTCCTGGCGCCTTGATATTAAACTTCTCAGCTTCCAGAATTGTGAGAAATAGACTTCTATTATGAATAAATTGCCCTGTCTAAGGCATTTTGTTATAGCATACAAATGCACTACAATGACCTTGGAATCCTGGAGTATTCAAATGGGAATACCCTCCTGTTTTTTCTCTTCCAGGATCCTGTCCTCCTGTGTCAGGTGCCTCAATTCCGGCTGAGTCCATTAGTGATGGGACAGCTTGTGACTGAAAGAGGAATTACACCTGAAGTGACAATGGGGCCCTGGTGGGTGGGGTGAAAGACAGGGAGTGAGGGATGTTGTACTGAGGTGCAGATGAGGCATTCAGAGAAGAGACGTTCTCTTCCTTGGTTTTTATCCAAGTTCTCTCCTCTCTGTGTGAGGGATATCAGCGCCCATATCCTCAACCCCTTTACATTATAATTTGTACTGTCATTCAATAGGCTTTATGTGAGTCTCTCATTTAGACTTTCAACAACTCTGTGAGGTAGAAATCCCCATTGTACAGGTGGGGAAACTGAAATCCAGAGGTTAAGTACCTCATGCAAGTTCTCCGGAGTGTGAGTGGCAGAGCATGATTGGCGTCCACAGGGGTCCTTAGTTTCACTCATTTTGACTCCATTTTATTCATTGTAGACATTTGACCAGTCTCTTTGTTCCACTGGGGCATCCTTCATGAAGCTTCTTGTATTCCTTCTTTCCTCTCATTCTTCATTCCTGTTTTCTACTTTCATCTTCACCATGTTAACATTCCCACCAATAATATGTAAGGATTTCTCCACACCCTCCCCAACTCTTGTTATTGTCCATTTTTTAAATTATAGCCATCCCAGTGGGTGTGAAGTGGTATCTCATTTGCTTTTGATTTGCATTTCCCAAATGACTGATGTTGTTGAACATATTTTCTTGTTACTTTAACCATTTGCCTACCTTCTTTGGAAAAATCTTTTTCTGTCTTTCATTCTCTCCTGTCATGCATGACCCCCACCCCTCCATTGAAACTGCTCTTGTCCAGGTAGCCAGGGAACTCTGTGTCTTTAAATCCTGTGGTCGTTTCTCAGTCCTCATCTTCCTTGACCTGTCAGCAGCAATTGACACATCCTTCCTTGAAAACCTGTCTTTAGCTTGAGAAAGATCTGACTTGTGTTCTTGGCTCTACATTTGAAAGCTGCTTGACTTTGAGCATAACCTTAGTTATGTAATTAACACAAACTGTGAAGTCTCTTCATATCATTTTCTCTCTTTTTAAAAAAATTGTGTTTGAAAATTAGAAGCAGTAAATATAGCATAGCTTACATAGTGCTCGGAGTGGGCACTTAAGAAATGGTCACTGTTAGGTCCAGAGCTAACAGAGAGACACACACAAAGCTTTACCAGTAGCAAAATGCTGTTTACTTTGAGCATCTGGGTGCAGATGGGTGGAGGCTAAAGAGCGTCCAGGAGAGAAGAGGGGAGAGCCTGGAATTTTATAGAGGTTATTCCCGGGGGAGTAAGGGAGCCAGAACAGCCATTTGTAATTCTTTTTCAAACAATCACCTCCTAGGACCCCTGCCCTGGTCACATCCATCATTCATTTCTGGTGTCCTCCTTATCAGGAGAGCCAGGGAGGGGCAAACTTCCTCTCTCTCAGAGAGAGAATGCTGGCTGCAGCTGACTGTTAGATTTACAAATTCCAGGGACTCTCCAGACTCCTGCGGCTATTGTTTTAGAAGCCTAAGTTTTGCATTAACCAGATTCTGTCCTATACATTCTTTTCGGGTTCCCACCTGGAACAAACCTAACAGTCACTATGATTATTTCTTCAATGAGCCAATTTATGTTTTTTCGGTAAAGGTGTTCTTATTTAGAGACTAGTCCCAATGTAATTTTTAGAGGTTGATGCTATTTTAAAGTGTCAAGTGGTATTTCTTTTCTTTTTCAAAAAATATTAATGCAGCAATATTTTGA